GTGCGGGGGGGTGCTGTCTGGTCTCATCAAATCACAGAAGAGAAGGCGGGCAGAATTTGGGCACACATGATATTTACTTACAGAGAAAGGACACGTTAAAGGAAGGCAGGGCTTTAGAACACATCAGGTGCTACAATCTCTCCTGACTGGAATTTAACCAAAGATGTTCCACAAGACTCACATTTTATGATTGGTCCTGATACCAACGTGAGTCATTAAAAATAGAAATGCCAAAAGTAATTTTCTTCAYCACAATGCAAACTACAAATGAAAAGCATAATAAAATTATTTAAAACACCTCGCGTGTATGAGTGTGTTTACAAGCACAGCTTTAAAAATTACCTTTTATTACACTTTGACCTTGCAGCATGATTAATTAATTAATTTATTTATTTTCAAATCTAAAACATCTGAAAATGTTGAGATTTTTTTCTTACAGCCTAACATTACAGATATAAAATCAGAATGTCCAAACGCAGAATAACCTTGAAAAAAAAAACAGTATCAAACAGGAATGTGTCTATAACCATAAACACAGCATTTTACTCTCTAATGACACTCCCATCCAACTGATTCAGTTATAACAGAAACAACAGTGTGTTTATCAGCAGCAGCAGAAATAAAGAGAAGTTTTAGAACTATGTAAATTAGTAACTAGAATCCAAAATATTTTTAAGTTTTGATATTTTGATAAAGGCCCAATTTCCACAAGATTTTCTACTATTTTTAGATCAATATGATAAAGAACAGAGAGAATGGGTGAAGAAAAAGTTTTGGCTCTGCAAAGTGTGAAATAAAAATATTTATTGATTAATGTCAGTGCAATTAAATCTGTTCTACTACAGAGTGTTTGTTTTAGTTCATCACGCAAGAAGCTCACATTTCCTACAGGGTTCCCACACCTTGGTCATCAGCAAATTCAAGGACCTTTCAAGGACTTTCCTGTACCAATTTCCTCAAATTCAAGAATCACGCATGARGGCAATTACCTACTGCTACTGCAGAATGTTACCAATAAACAGGTTTAAWATCATGTACATTCAATGAAAAACTGGGAATCAATGAAAGAAAGTGGATTAAATGTATAATCCACAATACATGGATGTGTAATTATGTCCTGGGAGGTTCAGCAGCTCAGTTTGGGAGGAGGGGATGTGAACATGTCCAGACGCTCAGAGAGGACAGGAGGAGCTATGGTGCTTCCACCTGGGCTCAGAAAGAAAGACCCGCCCTACTCTGCTCTGATTGGCTAAAACTATGACCATGGTCCATGTTATTTGTTGAAAGCCACGTCAGTTTACCATAATCCTGAGTTATCCACCGCAACAAGTATTTTTTTTTTACAGATGTTAAAAATCAGTTGTGTGAATAGAGAACTTCAATCACCAAAAAACATTCAAGGACTTTCAAGGACAAGTGTAATTTTTGGCTGTTTTCACAAACTTTCCAGGTCCTTGAAATCATTTTTTCCACATTCACAAACTTCCAAGGATTTCAAGGACTCGTGGGTGAATTACTGCATAACTGATGAAATCAACAGTAATATCAAAGCAGTGATTTATTTTAAATATCAAATTTAAAGATGTGTTGATTTTTTACAGTTTTAAATATTTAGTTTTTAATTTGAGTAAAAATTTGACCTGTTTGTTTGAAAAAAAGAGCTCATAATTACATAAGCTCGTCTCCTGAGTAGTATAGTATATCACTTTGTGCAGCCCACAGAAGACGTTCAGCTTTGTGTGCATCAGTCAGGACGGTGGACCAAAGCGAGCCCTGAAGCCAAAAGTCAAGACGGTGAATTGGAGCAGCAGACGATGCTGAGAGATGACCTACTTTGTTACATAACAGTCATCYTCAGTCGCAGCGCCGCCGCCCACTGCTCCGATGACTACCTCCTCCGTCACTGAGAGCATGGGTTTGAGGGTTACTCAGGCATGACAGGCCCCACCCCCCTCCTCAGAACCAGGGTCATAAGAAGATCAGGGAGCAGTAAGTCTACATCCCTGCCAACCCAAATGTCTAAGTGCTAATTAAACAGGCTACAGCTTCCCCCCCCACCCACTCACAGGGGTCAGTGCAACACAAACAGCATGCTGATAAATGCATAGTACTGCACTATAGTACTGTACTAGTGGTGTGGTGGTGTTTACAAGGGGTTAGGGTACATGTTATATGCATGTTTGACATATATCCTGACATATCCAGTTCAAGAATACAAAGGAACTTTAAAAACAGGCAGCATTTGTGCAAAATCACTACAAAAAGGTTTACGTTCAGAGCTCCAAGCGTGACGTTTTCATGGAGCTTCACTGATTGCACACAGCTTCTGCCTCGACCATAACGTCACTTCAAGAGGGAAGAAAAATTAGCAAAAATTCCTGAGCTTGGTCAAGATAAATCCATCTGTGGTGTGTGAGCTTGGGTTTGACAATCTGTGAAGCAATATTTCCTGTGTTTCTATAGAGGCAGCACGGGAAATTACATACCTAACCTCTGAGAGAACTCGTAGAACTTCTTCAGTCTTCCCACTAAAGGAACCACAGCAGCCCACGCCTGCTCCTGTAAGGCCTCATTGTTTGGATTCTGGATTGCCTAAAAGAAAAAAACAAAACAGCTTAAGGCTCTGTGCATGCTAAGATTAAAGTGAAGCTAAAGAAAAACAGACGTTCAAAGCAAAAAATGTTTAAGTTTCATATCTTCACACATTTTTAATTTTGTTGTTTTGGACAGTTTTGTCAAATCAGTCATGAACTGAAAAAATAAATCAAATATAGGAAGCAAACAGACAACATATTAAAAAAAGCACAGCTACCAGAGATACAAGGTTATGCTTTGAACAAATACAAAGTGAAGGCAGGGTTACACAAAAACACTCCAAAATTATATTTAAATTATTATATGTTTACACTCAGTTATATTTTGTCCAAACTCAAATCTTAGAATGACATCAGACTCAAAATGCATAGGAGAAGTAAGATCGCAGTAACATATTCTCTATTGGAGGCTGTAAAGTAGTTTCTGTGCTGCTGATTTAATCAGGTTCAAACTCACTAAAGTGCGACTAAATCATTTATTGCTGCAGGTATCATTTCTGTTTATGTGTGAGAGGCAACCATATTGGATTTAGAGGATGGGATTGGAGAGAAACCTCTGAGCTTCAGAGGAGTATTCCAGTTTATTCCTCCACAATTACTTAAACCGTTGGAGGACATTTTAGGTATTGTAAGGGCTAAATCTGAATGAGAAAGAAAAATAAYCAAGAAGTTTTTAGTTTCTTTTTTAATTCTCCACTAAATGTATAGTCATTGGAAATAAATTGGTGACAGTAAGTTTTCAGTCTTTCAGATGGCAGCTCCAAGTACTCAAGCAGAGGACAACTGGACTTCCTGACTTGATTCTCTAAGACCTTCTTCAGTCATTTTTATTTGGAAAGGAGCTTTATAGATGAGAAATGAAATGTCTTCAAAAACCAAAAAAAAAAGAAGTTCAAACACAGTTAGTTCAAACATTTAGGATTTGTACATTTCTAGGAACTTGCTATAGGTTATAAATATATATTTCTGAGGCTTCTTTATGAAATATAACCACATCTAATGATTGTAAAAATCAGTTTATTTTAGGTTTAATTCAAAAACGATGGAAGAATAATTTCTCGGTGCCCTAGAGGAAAAAAAAAATACTAAATCCAACCTTTGTGGAGCTTATTTTTAATCCTAAAAAGTGGGGCCCAGACTCTGCAGCAGTTGTGTTTMCTGTCAGTCCAATGGATTATTGTATCAGCTGTACCTCTCTGATCTCCTGCCCTGCCCCTTTGTAGGCCTGCAGCTCGTCCAGGATCCCCTTGGCGTCCTTCAGCACCACATCCACCTGCTCCCACACCTCTCGCTCTGCTTCTGTGGGCTGCGCATCTGTGAATGCAGAACAGCGAAAAGTGTCAGACTTGTATTTAATTCATATCGGGCCCAACCTAACAAAAAAACGCAGCTCTAAGAAATCCATCAAATCCTCCAGGATCGTGGTAAGTTTAATAAACAACTTTCAATTATGTAAATGAAAGGTTTTGGAAATAATCTCATCTCCCTGTTCTTTCCCATTAGGTTGTGACACCACCCACTTTCTTGGCCGATAGGAAAAAAAGGAGAAAGATAAGACGAGGCAAGACAAATGAAAGTTTATGTAAACCCTGTGGCTCCAACTACAAAGAGGAGCTGTTTTGTTTAAACAGCTTTTAAAAACAAAACCACCATGTTCAATGAGCTTTCCTGCATTCTTTTTAAATTAACACTCAAATCCTAATTACAGAGTGTAAGCACATTTGAAGTCTAACTGCGTTCCGAAAGCACAAAACCTTTCCTTGGAGGTAAAACTGTGATGCTCTTTAAAAATAAAAACGATCTGAGGKTTTTGCGAGAGATGTTTTTCACTCAAGGTACCGCCGAGTTTCTCGGTTTGCCAAGTGTGAGAACAGTGCAGCGCAGGTTCAAGCCGTGCTGAGGGGCCTTAGGCTACGCAGCAGCTGAACCTCGGTGCTTTATATTTGGGGATTGGAGGGGGTGGGTGGTGTCTCCATTGCAGCTCTGCTCTGATTGATATTCTGCACACACACACACACACACGGCTGTGGAAAAAAAAGGCAGGTTGATGGAAAAGTGCAGAAGCTACAGCGTTGTATTAAATTCTTTTGCCGCTGGGAGAAAGTAACGTAGAAGATAAATCAGGGTGAATAGACTGAAGAGTTCGGAACTGATGTTGTTAGGGAAAGATATTCATGTGATCAATATCAGGAGTGGGAGCAATTACTTTGCAAAGGAACTCACTTTCAAAATCGAGGAAAAAATTGGGCTCCTGTTCCAGATCTGTGCATGTCAAAACTTTCAGAAGGTTCCCCATGTTATGATACCTGTTGAGAAAAATACAGAGAAATCGATAAAAGAAGAAATTTTTGGCAGCAAACGGGAACAGGTGTCAATACTCTGCTGCATCCTTGGCACCTCACTCAGGCTCTGCTTCACTGCTCTGATGCATGTATGAACCAGGCGGCTCCCCAGATGTGCCCACCGCTCACAGGCACCCCCTTACTCCCCTCGGACCCCCCCACCCCCACTGTGCGTTTCCTGCACTCAGCCTTTCACCAACCAGATGTCAACCCAAAAAGTKCCGAAAATAAAATAAAAACTAAAGTTTTTTTCTGCTTTGCTAGGCTTCTTCCCAGCATTTGAAAGGGGCAGCCATACGCAAAGTCGCCGTCCTCCACAGAGCTCTCTCTCCTAATCTGTTCACACATGAACTATTCAGCCGTTTGCTTCACAATCTTATATCTAATTAAGCATTCAGAAAGAAAATTGTCAAAAAAAGTGTCTTCTGTTGAGAAAATCAAGCAGAATGTGTCTGATGCAACAGACTTGTGATGTTTGGTCTGTCAGGGATCAGTCAGGACTTGATCACCTTAATAATAAAGTCAGCAACAGTTCATGTTTATGCAGATGACATTCAACTTTACTGTTACTTTCAAGTTAACACAGATTTACTTGACTGCTTGTCTGATGTTAAAAACTTGTTTGAAGAGGTTTATTAAACTCAGCAAAGAAAGTCTGGTCATTGCCCCGGCAGCATGAGGTCACTCATCTGACAACAAATRGGCCATTTAGACTTGAATGTTGAGTCAAATCTGAGGAACTCTAATTCTGTTTGACAAGCTCTTGATGGCCACTCCAAACAGCTTGTTCGAAATACTTTTATACTGGAAAGAAAAAAATTGTGATCAGACTCCAAAATGTTTTGTAATAATTTCCAACGGAGTCTCTTTTCTCTAAATCAAGAGGTCTTCAACTCTGTTCCTCATGACCCACTGCCCTGCATGATTTAGCGGTTTTCCTGCTTCAACACACCTGACTAAAATGAATGAGTGATTTACAGGCTTCTGTTAAACTTGATGACATTCTCAGTAGGTGATTTAATCATTTCAGTCAGGTGTGCCAAGGCTGGAAAATGTCTAAAAACATGCAGGACAGCTGGTCACGAGAAGAAGTTGAAGAGCTCTGCTTTAAAGGTTAACAGGTTTAGAGCAGTAGGAGTGTCAATAATTAACTTTATTATTTTTTCATCTGCCTTTCTTCTGTTCTGAACACAGACAATAGAAATTTACTCATTAACACGACAAAGTGCAATAATTTAACAATGAGGTTTTCAAAATTACATTTATATTAAACGCTGTTACTGATACAAAATACAGTAAATATCAAGATATTTATTAACCTAAGATCACAGACCTTTTCTTCGAGGGAAGCCTGAGCCTGAAGGCAGCCTCAACATGCATAGTTTTAGGGACTGTGGGAGGAAACCTGAGAAGCCGGAGAAAACCCACGCAACATAAGGAGACTGTGGAAAGTCTACACAAAGACCTCAGGCCCAACCTGGGGCTTGAACCGAGGACCTTCTTGTTGCAAGGAAACAAAGCTAATCACTAATCCATCATGCTGCCAAAAACAAATGCATGCATATTTTAAAGAAATAGATTAATAAGAATGAAATATCAGCTAAATATAGCTAAGTGACTGTTAAAGCCATTTTTGTTGGTTCATAAGATATTTTGCTAACATTCAGACAAACTCATTTAAAAATCAAATCATAACCTGTGATATTATATATATATATATATATATATATATATATATATATATATATATTAGGGTGGGTTCATATTTGAAGGACGTACAAAAAGCTTCAAAGCCTTAAACCTGATGGGCCAACTAACCCATTACTGCCATCCAGGATCTATGATGAGCAGAGTTTCACTCAGGTATCAGCTCTGTTCACTCTGATCTGCGCCGTCAGGTTTTATACCTGCTTTAACAACTTTGCCATCATCACAGGAACTCTCGACTGGAAAGGTTTCCCCTACATGCCACACACTTACGTTACTTTAAACGGTTTATGTAACCCAAACGTATATGTCAGCTCGAGCTGTGCATCGAAAAGTGACAGCCTCGCGCTGCTCTCTGCTCTGTCGATCCTTCGACTCCTTGAAAGAACCAAACTGATGCTCGTCAGAAGCAAAGGTCAATGGTGTGACGAGTCAAAAGTCTGAAGCAGTTTATTCCAAAAGGAACAGCATCAGGCTGTACTGGTGGTGACAGATTTAACCCCTGCTGACAGATTGAAAGGGTGTACTCAGAGACAGGCGGGTAGGGGTGTCAATGCAATGCTCACCTGAGATGAGTGACAGGTAAAAAGCTAAAGTGACTGAGTGAGAGCCGGTGATGACACGGTGAATCAAGCCAGTGCAGGAAGATGGGGAGGCGCAGCGATGGAGTAAAGTACACACTCAGCAGTCAGCAGCAGAAGGGTTAGATGAGGTGATTTTAAAATGCACGAGATGTTTCAAACAACGTGGGGAGGGGGGGCTGTAAAACCAGGCAGAAGCACAAATTTCCTTCTTTTATATAAATTTGTGATGAAGAGATCGTTTTAGTGCTGATGGTTGAAGAGTAAACTGGACTAAAAGATATATTAGGCAAGAAAAAAAAAGTTGTAAGGCATGTTACCTGTTGACATCATGCAGGCAAGAGGTGACATTTGTTTTTCGTACCACGAAAAAGACACTTCTAATTAGAACTTTTCCACTATATATTATTAGAAATAAGAATTGATGGCCAGTATATATAAAACAATTTTTTGTTTGTTTACACATTGAAATTTACAAAAACAGTTATTTAAAGATATTTGAACTTCAAAGGTCTCAAAGCCTCCCAGACTTATAAAAATTAGTTTTCCATGAAGTTCTTGTTTTAAAAGTTATAATATTCCTGTCACACTTTCTTAGTGGAGTGCTTATGTTCTGCCCAAACATGCACTTGTGTCAAAAGAAAAGCCCTCTTATCTGTGGAAATGTTTGATTGATCCAACAGTGTGGTGTCACCAGTAACATTTATCTACCTACAGATATGTTTGATTGTACAGTCAGAGMGTGGCTGATTCAGATTCTCTTAACAACAAAACAAAAAAAGCAATAAAAAGCCTTTTTTCATTGAATGCCCTCTAGTAAGTTCTTAATGTTCTATTAAATATCTGAAAAGTGTTTTTTTCTTTAGTTCTACACAATTAAATTTATTCTACATCAACATGCAAGTAGGTCTGATTCAAGTGAGCCTGTTATTTCATCCTCCATAACATTTTGTCTCCAGTGTACGTCAGCCACCACCTGCAAGGACCCACCTGTCTTGTCCAGCCCCGTACTGTTTGCCGTTCACTAATGTGACCTGAATGTCTGACTGCGCCAACGCTGGCACCTCACTGGCTGTCAGGAAGCTGCACCTGATGCGGCCTCAGAAGGGATGAGAGCTGTCACTGACGGTCGCCCTTCTGGATGATGCAGCCCATCATCACCAGACTTGCTCTGGTCCTCTGCTGCCACCTCTCAGCTGCTGACTGGAGTCGGACCAGCTCGGCTCCTTTGCGCTGTTTAAAATTAGGTCATTTTAAGGACGGGGATTTGCGTGGCCGCGTTTCAAAGTCTAATGAAGAAAGTTCAGGGAATAAAAGGAGATTAAATTAGTTTTTCTAAAGTCTAGCACTTTAACTTAAAATTCACCCTGGGAATTACTTTGTAACMCCACGTTTATGTAATTCAAAACACTGACTTTGCAGTTTAAGCAAACTTCTTCTTAGCCATTTCTGAAAAGCAAAACTTCAGCTTAACGTAGTACGGGAAGAGCGGAAGAAGCTGGAGATATATCAGAGAGAGATGGCAAAACAGAAGTCCCCCCCTCCCATCCCAGCAGCGCTGGCATGTCCCGAGCACCAGAGAGTCCAACGACAGCCTTGTTGTTGTTTTGAACCCCCCCACTGTGCCATCGCGTGTTCGCAGTGAGCAGGGGGTGCTGCTTCTAAGGCCAGGGGCAGAATCTGACAGGCTGGAGCCCGCGCAGCATTTCTATTGGCTGAGCCCATCTACCCAACAGCTCGCTGTATCCATGGAGTCAAAAAAAATTTGGAGCCATTGAAAAACAGCGCGGCAGCCAATCAGTGGCGAGCATCTGGCAAGGAGCGAGTACAGTAGTAGTAGGAACTGAAAGCACATGAATACATTAATACTGATGAGGTAATGTGCCTAAAATCAGCAGATTAGACGGGGAGTAAAGTCAACTGCAGACAGAAGAGAAATATTTAAATCCACTGGTGAGCACTCAGTGATTTGATGAGACTAGATTTTTCGGTGCGGCTCAATGTAATTAAAAATCATGCCCCGCCACATTAATTATTAACAAATGAGAAAATGTAAGTGAAGGTAAACACAATTAGAAAATAACCCATGTGTTTGCAGATTTCAGGCGCCACGCCCAGCAGCCTGACCCCTACATGGCACCGCCTTTTAAACGTCTTCATGCTCTCCTTCTCCTCCTCGAATAAACACACAGAGCAGCTGAAACTGAGCACTGCGGCAGCAGAGATGGCTTGAGGYGGAGGAGGAGGAGGGGAGGTGTCTGATGTGAGGCAGGGATAGTGCTGACATTCCACTACTCAGCTGCAGCATGAGGATCCACGTGCCTTACTGCTTTACTACGAAGGAGAGAGGGAAAAAACAACGCCGTCCCCTCCCCAGCCACAGAACGGGGAGTCACGTGGGCTTCGCCGTGGACAGGCTGGGAGCTAGCCTGGGGTGTAGAAGGGGGATGGGCCACGGCAGCAGTCTGTCTGTGTGTGTTTTAATGTCTGAAATAACGTTGATCCAAGTAGCTGATATTTGGATGAAATAAATGTTCAGACCGAGGGTAATGCAGGTGAGGATAAGTGGGGACGGAGGAGGGGTTTGGGGTGGGGGGGGGTCACACTGCAGCAGAGCTCGGCAGCTTTAAACATGACCTAGATTTCCCGGGTGACACGCCACATCGCATTAGTCCA